ACAGCCGCCGCCAGAGTCAAACGTGCTGTCAAGCGTGGGTATGACACCAGCGGGCTCCGAGACGCAGCCCCCCCCCCCCCTTGGCCGCGCGTTGGCTGAGTTGACCTGAAGAGGCTCCCAGACCAGGGTCCCCGCCGCGCGGTCGGACTGACAAGCCCGGCAGCACAGTTTTGCGGCGCTGGTGGTGTAAGATATGGGCCTGGCGGTCGGAGCGCTGCCGACCCTGGGACTTAACGAGCACGTGTGGAGGCGTTGGGCTCGGGCGCCTTAAGCGGTCGTTGATCTGAAGTGTGGTTTGGCTTGCGCTGCAGCTCTGTTTCACGTGACCAAAATCCTTTCGTTGATGTTAGTGCTATTTGTATTCGCTGGCATTGCTGAATGTCTAGACCGACCAATGTATCAAATAAATCCGACGTGATTTCGTGCCCATCCTAGTTGTTAGCGTGCTTTATGGACTTTGTAGGCTGTCGGCTATAACTATTTTAGCTTGCATGCAGTGATCGCGTTCTGATAAGCCAACCTATTGCACATCTAAATGGAGTGGATTCTGCCTATTGATTGGCTTCGGTGTGTTCCAAAGTGGTGCTTACTGGACCTGAAAAGTGTTGATACCAGCACTTGACGCTGGGATGGGCCCATTTCCACAGAAAGTCACAGGCGGCGTGCTGCTGCTTCCTGTGCTTCGAGATGGAGTACGTCCCATATCCCGTATGATCCCAGCCACTGTATAAAGCGGTTGGGATTCCGCCGTCATTGCTGCCCCACAGAGAGGGAGGCCTGCCACAATCCGTCCCTGATCTCGGCGCGACGGCCTGGGCGTTGACTGCGGGGCGTCTGAGGCAGATTGCCAGCTGGTGAGGACAGGCCGACAAACGTGTCGGTCTGCACAGCGCCTCAGTGCTCTGGATAATGACTGGCCGTGTCCGGAGATACCACGGACGCATTTTGCTCTCGAGTTAAGACTAAACTATAGTTTCCTCATGTTGTGATCAGAAATATCTTAATTTTCTTACACCGGGATCAGCCGTACATAAATACTGCATCACTGATATGGTATAACCACGCCTCCTTGATTGTGCGTATCTACTGTAATGCTTAACCGAAATTAGGTGCATCATTGGGGTCATTTTACCAGGATCGCATACATGTTTTCCCCTTTCACCACGGACAACTTTTTCATTGTCTCTATACAGAGCGTTCGTGCACATCTATGCCTTTTTGCATCCAGATTCAGCATGCCGTTATTCCTGATACGGAGACCATGGACATCTTGCTCCCCCCGCATGGGCGCACCCGCTTGCTGGACGCGCCGCCACACGTCTGTCAGCATTAGCCGGCGTTCAGCGGGGAAGCCTGGAGCGATGCCGCCTGTCATCCGGTCGCGGACACGGCGACTAATGTCGCTGATAATGGAATGATGGAGTAAAAGCGGCGCTAATTCGGCAGCGTGGGCCCGCACCAGCGCGGTCAGCTTGAGCCCGTGCGCACGAGCATCAGCTGTCACGGCAAAGCCGCGCGCTGATTGGATGGGCCGGCACTGACGTAAGCCGATTCTCGGCGCGTCAAACAAGACGTGATTTGCGCAGGCGTGCGCTTTTGGGCTTGGGGTTTGTATGGCCGCCCCGGTTTTGGCGTCAGGCTGAGCTTCCGCTTAGAACAGCGCGGTGTTTACGAGGTGAGAGGCGCCCATTTCGTATCAGCGCCGATCTCCGTCACGGAATGTGCGGCTGTTTCACGTCTGTGTCTTGTCTGAGACCTCCTGCAAGTGGCAGCCTGAATAGATACCTGTTCTGTGTCAGCGTTTGTGCCCTGCTACTCCACGGTTACAAGTCATAAATGACAGCCACGAACTCTCGGGCGGCCTGTGGACCATGTGGCCCCCAAAAAGGGTACCGATCCGTTCTACCACAGCGAATGTCCATCCCTTCCCCTCCCCCAACTCCTTATTCGGCCAGGCAAGCCTCCGGCGGACAAGACGCCTCATCATTCGACGCCTCCATGTATAACGATGAACGCGGAGACCCAAAGACGTCACCTGGCAGCTCATCCCGGCAGCGTTCATCAGTTCCCGGGTTTCTTCTTTCTTTGCTTTTTCACTCTCCCATTCTTCAACAGATACACCCTCCACCACAGTCCGCACGAGCTGGGAATGCAAGACAGTACCGAATCCTCCGAGGCAGTCTAGCAGTCACCTACCTGAGGAGAGTTGCGCGTGTGGGTTATAATGCCGAAACAGCCTTTAGTCTAGCAGAAACCAATGATTGCAGTTGAGATTATTTCATCAGATGATGTGTCCGGGAGCGGATACACGCCTGAAGTTTCATATACGATGTGAGATGGTCATTTTAGATCATCAGAAGGCGTGCCAGATGAGAGTCGGCTCTTGCTTGTGAGTTGGGTGCCGCTGAAACTGTCCAGTGACGTGTGTAGGCATGCTGGCCCAACCAGGGGTCTGAAAATGTTAGATGATGTGCTCAAGCCCTTAGGTTATTGAACCCAGAAGCAACTTTGGCTCTCGTGATGTGGTGGTACTTGTGAATTATTGGTCACAATAATTGCAATATGATTCATAATATGATAAGCCTTGTTGTGATCTGCACGCAGAAATTCATTTCCAACAGGCAGCATGCTGTGTTCGGCACCTTAGCACCAGCTAGGCCACAACAACTTATTGCACTTGTCCCAATGGAAACTAACAAACCACTTAAATTCAAAGTAATCATATGATCGCACTTTGCGATTGATTTTCTAAACCTCTCCGATGTAAAAGCAGACTGGCGCGGATTTATTTTACAATTTGTTCTAGCAAGTCGGACCGGACAAGATTGGTTTGAGAAACCTGGGAGCAGCGACGTGGCAAGCTAATTGAATCTGTCCTAACCGGACTAGACTGGACCGGACCCTGAAAACTCCATCCGTTAAGAGTGCTCTACCGTTGAGAGGGTTACATCAGACAGGGGGGTAGGGGGCACACCCAAAAGGGGTACAAATCGACACCCGTGATGGCTAGTGGAAGACTGTGGTCAGCTGAAACTGATGCCACTCGGCCACTTCCCGCACTCCTTGGGTCAATGCCACATACACAAACCGCTTAATCAGCCAAACATCACGAAGCATCAGCAAAGCCTTCCAACCGCCATTGCCACTTCTAAACGACCAGCTGTGAGTAACGGCCCACAAAATGCCCGTTTGCCTGGCTGTGAGCTCATGGCAAAGGTCATCGTTGACGAAATGTGTGCGACGTGCTCCCTTTCACAACGAGGCAATTTTGCTCCAAACGGCAGCGTGTCGGTTTTCCTGCAAAGCTGTCACCAGAGATGGGCAGTGACAATATTAGATTGGACCGGCGCTACGTCGCGTTTGGTGATGAAGTGTGGTACCTGTGGACTAATCTATCGGACTGTGGTCCCAGCCGGTAGTGTCATATCCTACACAATGTTTCTTTCCGACCATCATCAGGAGCTAGGTGGCCCTGAGAAGAAGCTCACGATGGTTGACATGCATCCATGGCTTCCTGTCGACTTGATCAACGTTGCTACAACTATGCTTCACCACCGGTTGAAACAGCACTCCGCTTCATTTACGAAACTTGCTGCTCGGATTACGGTGATTACCTTTATGCAGTAACATTCTCAAGGCGGTAATTAGGTGGCACGCTTGAACAAACTATTTTCCACCAACGTAATGTAAAGTGACCGAAACCTGGAGAGTGGTTATACTTTGGGAGCGGGACCAGTCTCACGCCACATGCGCTGAGCCTGCCCAACCAATTCTGCGGAATGACGCCCTTACCAGTCAAGTATGACACCTGACGAAGAGAGCAGTCGCACGCGACGCCCTGTTGACGTGCCCGGTGCTCATCTGACGCCGCTGTGATTGGTGTTGGCAGCTCGGGCGCGCGCCGGTGAGTGCGAGGAGGCGTCGACTGGGCCCCACCTGGCGCTGCGCTCGGGCCGCGCCGCCACAGCCGCGTCAATAATGCACGGCCGCTGATGGCACGGGTCCGGCACAATCAGGCCGCGTCCCGGCGCCGGGTATCGCAGCTGTGGACCAGGGGCTAGGTACAGACCAGGGGCTAGGTGCGCACCAGGGGCTAGGTGCGCACCAGGGGCTAGGTGCGCACCAGGGGCTAGGTGCACACCAGGGGCTAGGTGCACACCAGGGGCTAGGTGCGCACCGGGGGCTAGGTGCACACAAAGGGCCAGGAGCGCACCAGAGGCTAGCTGCACACCAAGGGCCAGGTGCGCATCAGGGGATTCGTGCACTCTGAGGAACACATGGGGACACTCCGAGGTACAGGCAGGTACAGGTACACTCCGAGGTACAGGCAGGTACAGGCACTCCGAGGTACAGGCACTCCGAGGTACAGGCAGGACCTTATGGGGTGTAAGGTACAGACTTCAGAGCTGCTGTGGTCTGAGATACAGACCAAGGGACTACTGCAGGCTGAGACACAGACCGGGGGACTACTGCAGGCTGAGGTACAGACCGGGGACTACTGCAGGCTGAGGTACAGACCGGGGGCTACTGCAGGCTGAGATACAGACCGGGGGACTGCTGCAGGCTGAGGCACAGACCGGGGGACTACTGCAGGCTGAGGCACAGATCGGGGACTACTGCAGGCTGCAGGCACGGCGCCGACCTGGCAACTACCGTTGTCACGGGCGCTGACCTTGAGGCCACGGGCGCGGGCTTTGAGGCCTCGGGCACCGTCTACTGCGGACTGAGTTTCAGAGAATACAATAATGCTGCAAGAGTTGGATGCTCAGGCCCTGACGCCACAGCACCCATGAGGTTTGTGCATGCGTATCTGAAGACCACTGTAATGCAATTTACATAAGGGAAATCTATCATAGCCTGAGTTGCAGATTTTGTTAGTGCAGTGGCCTGACGTTCAGCACATTGCAGGATCTTCGATGAGATGGCATTTCATGTGAGGTTCCTTTTCTTCAGTATTCGAGAATCGCAACATCTGTGGGTCGGTCTCTTATATTAACTAGTCTAGACACTTTTTCAGGTGCGCTCATTATTGAATCGTGGCGCTCTTTTTCCAAAGCCACCGCTGGTACTGCGGAGTTAAATTAAAGGGGCAATACACGCTCCACGACTTCCATCAGACGGATGCACCTGAATGGTTTAGAAAATTGAATACACAACCGCATTGGTACTAGACAAGCAGCTAGTTAGAACGGTACATTAACTGATAGTAATTTCGCAAATAAGTGTTCGCGTCCAGATTTTTTAAATGAAATACAACCGCACAAATATTGGGAAACATTTCTGTAACATTCTTCTGACCAGGTATAATATCTAGTGATCGGTGTCATATTTGGTGCACCGTCTGTTTCATATTCATCTGATCACAAGGCCAGGTCCTAAATGGGTTAGGTGCACTGTGCTGAGTACACCACTAGGTTTATTGAACACCCTACATTTCACAGGCCCTAGACACGTTCGTCTGAGAGTGATCAGTTTCCCAATTGCTGGTCATATGATGTTAGTAGGATGTTTTGCGTCACACAACACAAACAGCCTCTTAAGAAGGTACGGCATATAAAGCACTCAGCGTTCCGCTCACGGGGCTGTGGTTTCTTCATACCTGCATCCCGGTGGTTAAGTGAAATACAACAGACGTATTCTGTGAGGGGGTTAACGTTACGCGCTTCAAATGCTCCTTACCATCGGATGGCGTATTTCCACTGCTACAGCTGTTCTGGATATTAGGTCCCGCAGAGCACTCTAGTTTATTTGTGTCAGTTCTGTCGCGTCTGTTTGGCGGATTTCGGGTGCAGACCTTCGTCCCTGTATTATCCATACGAGACGATTGCTGATCTATGCCTCAGTCTCCGCAACTTCGTGTGGGGCACCCTCCTCTCGCTGAGCGTCATCGTTCTCCTCTTGCTGAGCCATATCGTCCTCCTGCTGAGGAGAATTCTCCTCCTCCTGGTCCCCGTCGCCCTCCTGCTCAGCGGAATCGTCCTCCCGCTGAACTTCGTCGCCTTCCTGCTGACCCTCAGCACCCCGCTGTTCATCTTCCGCTTCCTGTTCGTCCTCCGCTCGCGGTTCGTCCTCTGCCGGTAGTGGACCGTCGGCCCCGTCGGCGGCGACTTCTTGCTCGTCCTCCGCCGGCAGTGCACTGTCGGCTCCCTGCTGCGGCTCCTCCACCGGATCCTCCAGCTGACACTCCAGCTGGGTGGCCAGGCCGTCGGTGTCGCCTGACCGTGCCTTCTTCACCCGCTGCAGCGCGGCCACGGCCTTCGTCTTTGCCCAGAGCGCGTGCGTAGTTACCATGGTGGAGACGGTGTAGAACAGGCCGCTCTTGGCCGAAGACGGCTTCGTCCCCTGCTGCTCTTCCGGCTCCAGCGTGCCGTACGGAGCACGCACGCCGCATACGTTGGTGCGCCAGCACACGTCGTACGTCAGGCCGCCCAGGACCCCTGCGGTGCGGACGCGGCCCCGTCAGCGCAGACACGGATGGACGACAGGTGATCTGAAAACGGCACGAGCCGAGGCGATCCTCTGACTGGGACTGCTGGACTGGTTAGACATTCATTGAGGCTTTCAAAAATAGACAGGTTTGGTAGGTTTTAAGCTCACCTCGGCCGACCTCACGAGAGACCTCAAGTGTGAAATGCTTGTTTTTGTCTAGCATGTCTATGATCCATGTCGGAACACTTAGGACAATCGGGAGTTAAGCCAGACGTGTATCTCTTAAGCACGTTGGCCGCATGATTGTCTCGAATAGCGACGGGATCATTCACGCAACGAAGCCTTCATGAATGCAGCTCTTGACTGCATGCAGATTAGAGATTCGGCAGAATGCATAGCGTACACACTAAACGGGCATTTGCGAACAAGAAGTGAGCCTGTTTGGTCTGCACTCAACACTTACCAAAGGCCACCACCAAGGCGAGATAGCGCAGGTACCAGATGGCCGGCTTTGTCGGAGGCTCAGGCGGAACTGACAGAACAGGTCACAACAGACATGTCACAAACGATGCTGTAAGACGCAACTTACAAAAGAGGCCCCAACAGACATGTCACAAACGATGCTGTGAGACGCAACTTACATTTTGACTTACACTGCTTATGCATGCATTCTTCTGTTAAAGTCTTGCCTTTGCATCCCCCACGTCATTATTGCTACTCTGCATGGCAACTGAGACGCTGCGTGGAGGTCAGAAAGCCAGCAACGGGTCAGCAGACCGGGCAAGGCGTCTGCACGCTCAGAGCGTGCCCGAAGATCAGTTCATAGAGCTCTTTGGAACAAGTGTTCGTTTCAAAAGTGTCACGAAAACATCCAGGACAAGACCATTAAGATCAAAAGCATTTGCGTGGGAGAGAACCAGATGGCCCAGTGAGACTACATCTCACGTACGTGTGCCAACAACATGTCCAAAACAAAATCACTAAGGGGCCGGGCGTCTGCGTGGAAGAGCAGCACCTGCCATTTTGGAGCAACATCTCACGTTCAAGGCGCAATGATTATCCAAGATGAGGTTAATAGGTAACGACAGCTCTTGAAAAAAGCTATGAGAGTTGCATCAAACGGAGCATCGTTCCACGCCGCTCACGTTTCACGCCGCACGTGGGCAAAGGACCGCCAAAGGACGGCCAAGAATGGCCTATGCAGACCACAGAAACCAGCCAGGGCAGAGCAAGATGATACAACCACCAGCCCCGCGGTCAGGTTCAAGTCTGAGCCAGAACCAATCAGTGGGAAGCGCACCACCGTGAGAGAAAGACCCCAGGCCAGACGTCGCCCCAGAGCATCTAAAAACGCTCGCACTCCGAGGCCCTGTGCCTATTCCGGGTCAAGAAATGGCGCACGTGATGGCGCACAAAAACAGATGATGCACGTGATGGCGCACAAAAAGAGATGCACGTGAGCACGAATGGTACAGAACAAAGTCCCTGACCACAACCCGCGAGGAGGAACATGCGGAGCAAAACCGGGAGCAGCGACATTTTCAGTGGAGGACAGGCTGCGGTCTGACTCGGGCGCTCTCAGGGGGAGGATTCTCACTGGGGGAGAGGCAACATCCTGACTCGGGCGCTCTCAGGGGGAGGATTCTCACTGGGGGAGAAGCGGCACTCTCGGACTCGGACTCGGACGCTCTCAGGGCGAACATTCTCACTGGGGGAGAGGCGGCATTCTGACTCGGTCACTCTTAGGGGGACAAGTGACACTCTCACTCAC